TTGATTACTATAGGGTATTTACTACTTCAAAACAGGAATGAGAAGGCTCTGGATTAGAAGAGTATTTTTTTTCTACTATTGAATTGGCAACAAGTAAATAAGAGGGAGTCATGGAAGGTTCTGAGTACGCAACACCGCAAACAAAAGAGAACTAGCACCTCAGCAACCAAAAAATATTCTCAAAGGACCGACATTGCAATATACATTAAGTTCCACGATTTAAATGGTCTGGTTTGGCCGATCCTGCGTGTGGTAGAGGTCAGGAGGTCAAGTAAAATGCTAGCCAACGTTTATTAAAGATTCATTAGGATTTATTGCTTACTTTGTTTTACCAAAATATAGTTTCTAAAAGGGTTAAAGAAAAAACTGCAATTCATAAATGGTTTATTTCAATGAAAACTGTCAGTTTGAGATCACCAAAAAAATGCAGTGGGAGTTGTTCTCCACTACATTACCGCATTAAAAATAAGGTCCACACCAAAAAACCACAAGCCCTAATGGTTATCAATATTCTTCTTTTTCCACAGACTAAATTAAATGTTCAATTTCATGGCATGCATGAAAGAACCAGAGTTGTAGTTAGTACCCTAGTACGCTAGTACGCTAGTACGTAGGTATTCATGCTTGCTCAAGAGGCTTAGTTAGTACGCTAGTACGTAGGTATTCATGAAGGAGGCAGTGTGGCCGAGTGGTTAGAGTGTCGGACTTGTAATCTGCCCTGACCACTGGATCTGTTTCACAGTAGCCCCGAGTTCAGATCCTTGGCCATGCTTGTAGATAGCCAACTGGTTTGCCTCCAGCCGGTTGGGGTTCTTAATGATGTTCTTAATGACATTATGTTCAGTTTAGACCATTTGTTTCATTTGTTTGCAAGGACCACAATGGAAACTACTGGTTCACCAGTAATTGTGTAATCCATAAAAAGACTTTTTTTTTTCATGCTTGCTCGAGAGGTTTAGTTAGTACACTAGCATGTAGGTATTCATGCTTGCTCGAGAGGTTTACTTAGTATGCTAGTACGTAGGTATTCATGCTTGCTCGAGAGGTTTAGTTAGTACGCTAGTACGAAGTTATTCATGCTTGCTCGAGAGGTTTAGTTAGTACGCTAGTACACTAGTACGTAGTTATTCATGCTTGCTCGAGAGGTTTACTTAGTACGCTAGTACGTAGGTATTCCTGCTCGCTCAAAAGCTGTAGTTAGTACGCTAGTACACTAGTACATAGGTATTCCTGCTCGTTCGAGAGTTGTAGTTAGTACGCTAGTACGTAGGTATTCCTGCTCGCTCGAGAGCTGTAGTTAGTATGCTAGTACACTAGTACGTAGGTATTCATGCTTGCTCGCGAGAGGTTTAGTACTGTTGGTACAGTAGTACTGATGAAAGCTGTTAGTACGGTAGTACTGATGAATAAGCAAAAATCTACAGAAAAGCATTCCTATAATGGGCAGCATATGAACAAAAGACATTTATAACATAATAAATCCACTTCGGATGTTAGAAGAACACTCACAAAGCTTTTCTTGTGTTCTCCCAATGTGTGGCATGGGTTTTTCACTTGAAAATTTAAATATTCAAACAGGAAAAACTTTGCTCTTTCATTCTGCTCCTGATAAATCATCAACCTGACCATTTTAGTTTGTTGGTGAACCCAATGATCCAAAATATGTTTTGAAGTTTGGTGGACTTAAGCGAGATGGCATTTTTACTCCGTACCACAAAGCACTTTATCAGGTCACACTATTTTAAGTCATCAAGTCATAAACTAAGTTACATTACCTGCAGGTTAACAATGTAAAGGCTGGGTCTTCTTGTCTTCACTCTGCTCATCCCCCATAAAGCGTGATACCTCTTTAGCACCTTTGGTTAAATAGACATATTTACATTTTTAGAAACTGAAGGTTTCACTGTTAAAAACTAAATTGCAACAAGCCTGTTTCAGAATTCTGGTATTGTTTCTGGATGATTTTACAGGGGTCATATTGGTAAAGAAAAAAAAAGATAAAATGGAAGCATCCTTTGTTCTGTGGGAATATAACTCTTTCCTATGCAAAGCTGAATGAAAATGTCCTGTGGCACAATAGCACCTACAGAACAATGCTACACTATCTCTCTTAGTAGAAATGCCTTTAGGTTTGAGGCCATGTGATGTTGGTTACTTTATTTAGAATGGGTGAAAAAAACAATTATCTGCACATTTTTATGCATTGTTTGATTCGGATGGAGACCTTCCAGAATTCAAAGGCAACATATAGGGCATTATAAAGATAACAAAATTTCCTCAATTGTGTCTCCTGTGGTTATTGAGCAGTTTGAACTTTCATTGACTGTTGCACAATAAGCATAACAATGCTTTCGATTATAAACACCAAAATGCCTCAGACTCAACCCTCAACACTTTCACCATTTTTTTTTTTTTTTAATATGACAAATATTTTTGTTTGTTGAGCATCTGGTGAAAATGCTCCACCTCTTTCTATATCAATGTTAAACTAAAAAAAGAAAAAATATTTAAAGTAAATACCTTTAGGCTGGATCCTAGACAAAGAATACAATCTGCCATTTTTGCTTTGTCTATCGCTCCTTGCCAGTTCAAAGGCCAATGAAGGTTACCCTTTTCACCGAAATGAACTATGGTGTCTCTTAGCTGTGAGCCACATTCATGACAATTTCTATTTGTTTGATGCCTCCTCAGTCTTGTATTTTCTGTCACATCAAACAGACGGTAATAACTTTTGTCCTCCTCTTCACATTCTGTGCACACCTACAGTAGAAATTAAAGATGCTGTTACTTCTTCAGGAACTCAAACAATCAGAATGTTCCAATAGGACATAGTCCCTCGCAAGACATTATAATCTGTAAATTGATATGTGTAGAAGGATCATCTACAACATGTATAACATGTACAAAGCCCTTATGATCCGCTTGTAGTGCTATTTAGGGCCTGTCAGTAACCATTTAATACAAACACCAATCAGCAGAGAAATAAAATGATCAATCACACCTCAACAAACATGTTGCCATGGATCTCAGACAAAGCTTTTGGTGGAAGACCACTTCTGACATGCAGGCCATCACAATTCTGTGACACCACATGTTTCACCTGGAAAATAAAACGTAATGGCCAGAGTGGAAAAATTCCTTTTTGAACTTAAAAATTTTACGATAATGAAAATGCTAAAATCTGCAGCAAGACAACCAAATCAGACACAAGATCATTGTCCTGAGCTATTGATATCACCATGTACAAAATATTTACCACACATTCTATCAACAGATGGTCACTCTGCATTAGCCACACAACAAAAGCAACTTACTTATGAATCAATGGTCTTTACAATGCTCTCTAGTTAATACATATATTAGTAAATATGGAGGAAAAATGAAGCCACAAGAGGAAGATCACTTCTCCTTCTGATTTTTTTTTTTAAATGTTCATGCTGGTAGCTGAGCAGTACCACGTACAAAACTTTGATGGACAGTATTGAATCTGGGAAGAGGGACAGCATTTGTTTTTTTACACTAGTTAAATTTCATCTTAGCCATCTGTTGAAGTTGGTTAATGCACTTTTTGCTCAAGATGTCTCAACAATTTTACAACTGGTTGTAGCAGCATTGCTCAAACCTAGTTCAGCAAAAACAGGTGAAAAGGGCAATTTTCAGTGGATAATCCTAGCTATAAAAGTAAACAGAGAAGTTACTACTGACAACTAAGGCTCTGGGTTCAAATTGAACCTCTCACGATGTCCTTTCAGTAATTTGTACACTACAGAGACACTTCTTGCATGAAACTTTTTGTAACCCTTCTTCAAAGTTGTATGATTTGAGCTTTTCAGCAAAAGTGAGAATAATTAAAGGGCATTTTTGTCATTCTCTCTCACTATAAACATAGTGCTTAAACTCTACCATATTTTTTTAACAAATCAGAGTCAACGTGCTAGTTTTTGGAAAAACATGGCTGTCATGTTTCTGTCGCTCAAGTGGGTCACACTGCGCCCAACTTACTGATCAACAGTCAGCACTACGTACATCACACATAATTATTAAGGAAAATTCCAACCACATTCCATTCGCTCTCACATTTCAACCTCAAAAACTTTAAATTACTTCAAAATGATCCAGAGACTGGCCCTATCTTTTGAAACCTCCACTTATTTCATTCACACGTGACAAAAACATAGGAAACTTTTTGGTCAGAAGTTCACTTCAAACTAAAGATCCACCTGGAACTTTCAAATATACTCGCACACATTATAAAACTTCTCCTTTCATTCACAACTTTAAGGAAATATCGGGACTCAAATAATCCATTGAGATTACCGATCACTTCACATGCACCTCTGCCAATATTAATGTCATCTATTGCATGACTTGTGGTTATTGCAAAAAGATATATAGGTATTGGTGAAACAGGAAGATGAGTAGGTGACCAATTCTGAGAAAACCTTCACTACATAGAAAGGAATGACAAGGACGCATCAAAACCAGTTGCTAGACACTTTAATCTACCTAATCATTCTAAGCAGCATATAGCAGTCTGTCACCTTTTCCTATATTAAGTAGCCCAGAAAGCTGCAAAACTCTTGAACAAAAGTTTGTCTTTCAAATCAGCACCCTTAACCCCATACGTATCAATGAAAGCTTTTCATTCTACTGATTTATTAGTTTTCCTCGTCACCATGTTCCCACCAATAAAGCATAGCTCCACTTTCTGTAACTATACAAACACACACACAACCAACAATTCCTCCACTAGCTCTGACAAAGGGCTAATGCTCAAAACATCAGCTTTTAAACTCTTTACAGTGGCAAATTTACATGATAACTTAGTTGATAAAACCAAATTACCTAGCCTGCAGTGCTGGCGTATTTTGGGCACACCAGTGCACATTTTCGTATTAGGCCACCATCTTAGATTTGGTAACTGTGGAGGATTGGGGCGAGGAATCCTCCACTGTTACTAAATCTCAGATGGCAGCCTAATACAAAAATGTGTACTTGTG